CCAAGGACCTGCTGAGAATCTGCTCCGAGTATCAAAGCTGCATTGTCCTAGCTCCCGGGGAGACGGGCCGGAGGTGCCCAGGAATTGTACTAATCAATACAGCCTCATTGTCTGTGCCACGGCAGTTACTCCTATGGGGAGAGTGAGTGAGGGAGCAGGGGGATGTGGTACATGGGCTCAGTGGTGAGGGCTGGGGGAAGGGGATGGGCAAGAGTCTCAGCCAGGAGGAGAGAGACCCCATGGAACGTTTGCCAGTGTCTAGGGCAAGTGCCCACAGTGGGTGGGAGCTGGTGTGTCCTTGTCCCTGGAAGTTGGGGATGGGCAGGGATGTCAAGCACAAGGAAGCTGATGGCGGCGAGGGTGAGGGGACTGGGAAAGCCATCCTTCTCTTCTGTGGGACATCCTGACTTGACCTTCCGAAGGCAAGAGAAGGAATGTCCTCTGAGGCAATGTGGGTTGTGTTTGGGAGAAGCATTGTGCAGAGCTGCCCCCGAACCTCAGTACTGCTAGGGTCAAGAACCAAAGCCACTTCCCAGAGTGCCAGCTTGCTGCCAACCAACGAGGGCATCGGCCGCCCACAGCTACCTCAGTGCAGGGCAGGGCAGTTCCTCCCAGTCTCCCAAAGCTGCTGGGCTTCTTCAGGAAGAAAGGTGAGGGCCTGGGCAGGGCCCAGGGCCCACCCAGTATCCTCCATCACTCTCCCTAGGGCTGGAGTGGAGCCTGGCATGCCTGGATGCCAATCTTCTGTCTACTGCTTGCAAAATTGGCAGGTCACTCTCTGCCAATCAAGGCTCTGTGACGAAACAGCCAGAGGCATATCTTTGCCTCTCTTACCTGCCACAGGAAGTCAGGACTCTGCAGGCACCTGGAGCCTGGAGGGACCCAGAGTTGCTCTAAGTTTTCCTTGAGGCAGGAAGCACTCAGAACCCTGGGGTAGATGTTCCTCTGGTCCTGCTTCTCCACCCCCAGCCCCTGACTGTCTCACATCCAGGTGACCGAGGCCAGGCTGAATCTCTCTCTGGTCCCCATCAGTGTCATGCAGGTGGAGGACAGAACTCTGTCATGGCGTGGCAGGTACTGCCTAAGGGCCATCCTGGCTCCTGGCCTGATGGGAGAGAACTTGGGGGAACAAGACCCAAGCGGTGGCGAGGGGGCGGTCACGAGGTCTTCTGAGGCAGCACAATTTACTGTAATGACTGTTCCGCTCAAATTCCCCACTGGGGCTCAGAGAAAGTTGCCAGTGATCTGATTTGGCTCAGAGTCAGTCTGGGATGTGAGGTCTTGCCCGTTCTCCTTCATAAAGTTTGTCTTGGATGGGATTTCATCCCATGAGCAACCCGGGCTAGAGAGTCCTAAACAAGAAGCCTGCTGGGTCCCCATGGGGCTGCCCCACTAGGGCAGCTCCAGGATTCCTCTGTGTCCACCCAAATCAGGAGGAGGGAGTTCACAATTCACAGAAATATCCACGGGATGGAGGAGGGTGGGAGTCCCCAGCCAGAGTAATCATCATGCAGGACAGAAGGTTGGGCCTCCATGTCGCATGTGGAAGAAAGGAGGGCATCCTTCCTCACATTGGTCATGGTTACCACTGGGGGCCTGGCCACTGTTTTCCTCGTTATGCTTTTGAACTTTCCAAATCTTTGTGATAAGCTTGTTGTACTTTTTTTTTTTTTTTTGTACCAGAGGGGTGTGTGTGTGTGTGTGTGTGTGTGTGTGTGTATACAGGAGTGCTCTACCACTGAGCCACATCCCCAGCCCATTTTGTATTTTATTTAGAGACAGGATCTTGCTGAGTTGTTTAGGGCTTCGCTTGATTGCTGAGGCTGGCCTTGAACTTGTGGTCCTCCTGTCTTATCCTTCCAATTCACTGGGAAGCTTGTTCTTTTATAAACAGGGAAAGAAAAAAAAAAAAAAGACAAAACATTTTTTTTTAAGTAATCTAGAAAGCTAGTAGAAACTAACAGAAAATGCAGGGGAAAAGTCAGAAATAGCCAAATTGCAGGTGGGGTGGAGCCACAGAACCCTGGGAGACCTTTGGAGGCTGCCTTGCGTCTCTCAGGTCTCTAGCAGGCCCCTAACCAATCCCCTGGTTAGATAGGGATGCTGAGATCCGGAGAGTAGAAGTGACTTGCTCCTGGCTACTGGAGGAGCAGGTTATGGAACACCTGGGCTCTTTTTTTGGCACAGCGGGCATATTGAACTTGGGGACACTCAACCACTGAGCCACATCCCCAGCCCTATTTTGTATTTTATTTAGAGACAGGGTCTCACTGAGTTGCTTAGTGTCTTTCATTGCTAAATCTGGCTTTGAACTTGTGATTCTCTTGTCTCAGCCTTCTGAGGTGCTGGGATTACAGGCGTGGGCCACTGAGCAACAGCAACACTGGCAGCACCTGAGTTCTAACTCCCTGCACTGTCCCAGCCCAACCCAGGGCAGAGCAGGAGATCCAGATTCTGCCCTAGGAACTGAACAGCCTTAATTCTAGTTCATCCAGGGCAGCAAATAAGCCAGGCAGAGGGCTATGTAAAGGACTTATGTAAGTGACTCTGCTCAGTGTGGCTCAGCCAGCTGGGCAGAGACTGGGGGGTGCTTGTTAACCCAAGTAAGATCACAGTCCTGGTGCAGAGATGGACACTTGAGACCATGGCCTGTCTTGAGGGTAAGGCAACATCATCATCAGAGGAGCATGTGTGTGCATGCGCGCACAAGAGTGTGTGTGTGTGTGTGTGTGTGTGTTTGTGTGTATGCATGTGTACGTACATGTGCCAGCTTTTCCCACTCAGCTGTGGAAGGAATGCTCCAAGCCTTTATTCTGCCTAGCCTGGGAGAGCCTGGGTACAGGGCAGGGTAGTACCCCAGGGCCTGAGCCGGTGAGCAGGCCTGCTTTTTCCTAGCATGGCCTCTCAGAGCTGCCCAAAGGGGTGACAGAGCACAGACAGGGTGGGTTGTGGCTGTCCGGGGAGCCTGTGGAGCAGGTCAACCCAGAGGGGAATCTGCCACTGTGGTTCCATTCCCCACTAAGGTGTGAGGAGGTGAGGGAGGGAGGGCAGCAAGGGGCAATGGTGACCCATAGTGGGCAGGGGAAGCCTGGAGCTCAGCCCATCTGTGGGGCGGCTGGCTTAGGCAGGTGGGCAACCAGTCTGAGCTAAACTGTGAGCATGAGGGGTTCTTTCGTGGGCATTTCAGAGCCAACTCCCACTGCAGGGACCCTTAATATCAGTGAGATGCTTGTCACTGGCCAAGAAAAATGAGCATCTTATATTAGAAAAGATGATGAAAGGAGGGAAAAAGCCAAACAGAACTGGAAATGGCTTTGCTGCCTGGGGAGGAAGGACATGGGGGAGGTCCCCAGAGGACCAGGAAGGGGACTGAACACTCAAAAAGCCCCTACAGAATGGGAGTGCTTTGGAGATCCTTCCCTCTGGTGTGCTGGGAGAAGAGTGGACTTGGTCTGTCCTCTGCTGAGAGCTAAGACCTCCCCTCCCCCCGCACCAAGTCCGAATTTAGATTGCATTGAAATTGAAGCCAGGAGCCCACAGTGGATGAGGTTCCTGCAGTCAGCTGGCCGAGGTTCCCTAAGTCAGGAACCCTTTGTGCAGAGATTCGGGGCCTGGCAGGAGAAGATGTGTGCCTCTTCTTCAGAGAACCTCTGCACGCAGCAGACCTCCAGTGTTGTCAGGAACTTCCTGCCAGAGCCCAGTTGCCAACCCCATTCCAGCCCCTGTCCTGGGGGTGCAGGCCTCCCGCCTTGGAGCGCACACGGCTGAACTGGTTAGCGCATGGCTCAGTGGTGTGCAGCTCATTAGCGGAGCAGTGGCTGGCTCTTGAGGGCTAGGGCTGGCGGCTGCCTGTGGCACGTGGCTGGGGGCATCACCACCCTCCTTGGCCCCCTCCATGTCAGGGAAAGAGCAAAGATTCAAGTCTGGTCCTGCTAAACTTTGTTGGGGGGCCAGGAGTCTGTCCCTCAAGCTTTTGGGCCTAGAGAGGCCTTGAACTTTAAGCCTTGCAGAGTTGGGTCTCTTGCAGGGGCCTTGCTCTTGCTGTGCCCATAGGGCCATCCTGGACTCTTGGTTGTCCCTTTTACAGATGTTCCTGCTGCCTGTGACCCCACCCACAGACTCTGAGGCTGCCACAATCTCACATTGTGCCTCTAAGTAAACAAGGCTGAGACAGAATAAAAGTGTTATTGTTGAGCCAACATATAGGAGCCCTATTTGGCTGCTATTTGTTTGGGAATGAATAAACCATCCCAAGCAGAACTTATGCCCTCCAAAAAAGGCCCGCTGACCTCACAGTACTGCTATACCTGTCCCAGAGGAGGTCTAGAAGGTGGTGACCTATGCAGGCAGGATTCTGTAGGTCACTGTGGTCGCCCATTCTCTGAATCTTAGCTTCTCCCAGAATGGAGTGTATCTCCAAGTCCATTCACCAAGGAAACCTTCCTTGACCTCCCTCTGTCCTCTCTCTCTGTCCTTCCATACTTTTGTGACTTTGAGAAAGGCTCTTTTATGGTTACATTGAAATCACATATAAAATCATGTGTGTGCTTCATTGATGGCTTGCTCCCCGCTAAACTTCTAACTCTGAATAGGCAGGGGCTCTCTGCTTTGTTCCCGGCTGAATGGCTACCTCCGGGCACGTGTGAGGGGTCTGTGAATCTCTGACTGTGCATGAATGAATCAGGGAATGATCAGCCTGCTGATTTGCCCTAGGTGCTCCTTGAAGGAGACTCCTCTAGTTTTGGGTGTTGTACACCCCAACATTAGCAAAGAGTATGAGGGGCAGCTTGCCTGGGGTGGGCAGTACTGGATTGGGTGCTCAGGGTGATCCCCCACAAAAGTATCTGTGCTGTGGTGCCCATCTGCCAGGCATTGGTGCCGGCTGTGTCTGTATTCCCAAATGGACCTTTACTTGGGGCCCAGTGAGGCCATTCGTGTTCGACTTTCAGTGTCAGGGTCCAACAGCATTCTAAAGTACCAAGCCACCTTGCTTATTATAGGCCAGAGTGACTGCTGTCCTTGAAGATGTCTCTTTCAAGCTGAGGGTCAGCGTTACACTGCTGCTTCTCAGAGGCCATGTTGCTTCTTCCCTGATCCAGGTATCCTCCAGGGTCTCTTATCCCTTCCTCTCAGGGGCATAACCCATCTCTGTGAGGCTGTTTATGGAAATCTGTGTATGATCCTTTGCTGGTAACTCTCAGGGTCCCTATTCTCCTTAGTGAAACTTCCAGGCCCTTCTCAGGCTCAGGCTTAGGGTAGCTTGATTCCTGTCTTACTACCTGTGGGAGGGGGGGTGGAAGGGTGTGGCCTAGGGAAGGGACACATTCACATTAAGGGTCGAGCAGAGCCAGCTCCAGCTCTGGAGTTGGGGCTCCACATGGGGCTCTGGGCCATGGAGCCTAGCCCAGGAGCTCCCAGCAGGCCTAGAATTCTTCCCTGGGACACATTCCCTCGGCAGCCCCTCCTGACCTTTGACCTGTGGCTCCATCCTCTGCAGGCAACCCTGTCAGTTCAGAGACCGTTCTCCCTGTATCCTTTTCTGGAACCACTCCCTCTGTTTCCCCTAGCGGAGTCTGTCCTCAGAGTCGGGCATGGTGCCTACAAGTCTGGTCTCCTTCCCCAACTCATGGCCTAGCACCCCCAGCCGTGGCCCAGGTCAGCTTCCCCAGGGTCCCCTTCCCAGCCATGGGCAGTGTAGAGGCTCACCCTGAGTATCACAATGCCCTCCCCAGGCCTGGCCCAGCTTAGCTGCTCCTCTCCTTCCCCACAGCCCTGCCCACCCGGTGCCCCCAGGAAGAAGCCTCCAGCTGGGGGAGGGGTCTAGCCGCCGCCTGCCCATGGGCATCGTGCTCAGCCTGGCGATGTGGTAGGCGGCGGGTGGGGGGTGCTGTCTGGACACAGGCCCCTTTGTGCCCAGCCTGACTTGGCTGCTTGGTATGAGGCTCAGCTGCTCCCAGATCCTTACCCCGAGGAGTGAGGGGAGGTTTTAGAGGGGCTAGTGGGCTCTTGGCTCTACCTCTCTCCTCAGTATCCCTCCTCCAGGTGTTGGCAGCAGTTCCTCAGGTGACCTGATGCACCTGGACCCAGGTGCTGAGGGCCAGAGAAGGAAGCTCTGCTTGGCACCCGCTGGCAGCCAAGCCGCTCCTCCCTTCTCCCCTCCTCTGCCAGGCTTGCCTGTGGCTCCTGCCAGCAGAGGGGAAACCCCAGAAGTGGGGGCTTGGAGGGTCCATAGTGTCCCCACTGGGGGAGGCTCAGAGGGTCAGGCACAGAGCACAAATGGCTTGCTGATGGTAGCTTCTCTCCTGTCCCCACAGAATGGTGCTGTGCCCAGCGAGGCCACCAAGAGGGACCCGAACCTCACACGGGGAAACTGGGGCAACCAGATCGAGTTTGTACTGACGAGCGTGGGCTATGCCGTGGGCCTGGGCAATGTCTGGCGCTTCCCATACCTCTGCTATCGCAACGGGGGAGGTACCCAGTGGGCACAGGGCAAGGACCACCCACTTGGATAGAGCCCACCCATCAGGGCTTGGGCCACCCTTGTCCTGGCACAGACCCTACTGTAGACAGAGGCTAGCCTCCAGCCCTGGTCTTCTTCGCCCCCATCCCTGGCTTAGGCACCCTTTGCCTAAGGCGCAGACCACCCTCAGACCCTGGCAGTCTGCTGTTTGGGCCTGGCCCTACTGGCCTGCTCCCTAGAGATGAGGAGAAGTGGAGAAAAGTACCCCTATTTCCCAGGGTTCCCTGTCTTTTTCCTCTGTGTTTTAACAGCCCTCCCAAATGATCCAGAGATATTTGAGGATCAAAGTGGCTTATGTTTGTGAAATCAGTTGGTTAAACCATCAAATCCCAACCAAACATGGCAGCTCTAGAGCTGGATTCTGCTCAGAGCAGATTTCCTGGGAGGCTTTGTCAAGTTCAAAGACAGACTTGGGGTAGGGTGCCAGACCTGGGCTCCTGCTTAATAACTGGCACACTAGTACTCCATTCTTACCCAATCACAAAGGTTTTGCTGTTGGGTTCCGTGGAGGAAGCTCAGGGTGGGATCCTCAGAGCCCACCCTGAGCCAGACCTCTCCCTGCCTGCCAGGCGCCTTCATGTTCCCCTACTTCATCATGCTGATATTCTGCGGGATTCCTCTCTTCTTCATGGAGCTCTCCTTTGGCCAGTTTGCAAGCCAGGGCTGCCTGGGGGTATGGAGGATCAGCCCAATGTTCAAAGGTGAGCCTGGGTGGGGCACTCAATCATGCATGCAGGGGCGTGTGCATGCGCACACTCACAGAGGCCTCCGATGGCCAGGCCAACTCACCCATCTGTACAAACACTGCCAACCCCCATGGAGCCTTGGTGCTGACCTGAAGCCGGACATCAATGGCCAAGGCTATGGATGCATGCTGGGATCCATATTTACTTGCCTTCCACTCTCTTCTCCTGCCATGTGTATACACAAAACTCCTTCCCTCCCTGACTTGCCCCTACAAAGGCCTTGAGCTGTCCCTCCTGTGACCCTCCATCAAAGCCTGCCCCATGAGCCCTTAGAAATTGTTAACCTCACCTCCTTCCACTAGACATGTGAGGCTCCTCCCCGATCAGTGCTGACCAGTGCCCCTTCCCCGCCAGGCGTGGGCTATGGCATGATGGTGGTATCCACGTATATTGGCATCTACTACAATGTGATCATCTGCATCGCCTTCTACTACTTCTTCTCCTCCATGACACACGTGCTGCCCTGGGCCTACTGCAATAACCCTTGGAACACGCCCGACTGTGCTGGTGTACTGGACACCTCCAACCTCACCAATGGCTCCTGGCCTGCTGCCCTGCCCAGCAACCTATCCCACCCACTCAACCACACCCTGCAGAGGACCAGCCCCAGTGAGGAGTACTGGAGGTGAGGGTACCATTTGATTTGGGACAGGGGAGCCTGGTGGCAACTCTCGGCCCTCCCTTTCCCCATCAGGCAACCATGTGCAGACTAGGTTGGATGCTGGCATGTTCAGACTTCCCACAGGTACAGAGGGAGGCAGAGGAGGGTGAAGAATCATTGGAAAAGAGCACAGAAGACAGGACATTGATTTGGGGCATCCTTAAAGAGTAGCAGTGAGAGAGGGCTCCAGAAATCTAGCAAGCAATCAGAGAATTGGGGCAAAGGGGGATGACAGGCTGGTGAGAACAGCGTGAGCAAAGGCCCTGGGTCTCAGATAAGCAGAGACTGGTCCTAAGGCTGAGGGAGCCTACTCTAATGAGACTAACAGGTGTGGGGGGGACTCATGGGCCTTGAGGTGGCCTTCATAGAGAACTAATGAGAACTGGGTTTAGACTTAATGCTGCAGAACAAGAGGAGCCTTGGAAGTTTGCTAAGCCAGGTGTTAGGATGAAGACAGCCTGACACACTCTGTTCAGAGGTGACAAGAGACTGGAGTTTCAGAGCCACGAGATGGGAAGCTGCTGCTGGAGGTGTTCTGGAGGGCACAGCAGGACATTCTGGAGGAAATTCCTCATGTCCTGTTGGGGAGCCTCTGGGCAGAGGGCTTTGGGAGCAAATAAGCAGACCTCATTTATTCATTCCACAGACCTCTTCTCTGCCCAGAGTCACTGCCCTAAGGATTTCAGAATCCAATGGGAAGACAGATTTCTTATCATTTAGGGGCAGGTGCCTTGGAGGTATGCACAGGGATGTGGAGAATCACCAAGGGGGTAGTGGTTCATTCAAAGGGACAAAGGAGAAGGTCACAGTGGTGTATGTAACTCCTGTAATCCCAGCAATTCAGGAGGCTGAGGCAGGAAGACCCTAAGTTTTGAGTTCAGCCTTGGCAATTTAGCAGGACCTTCTTTCAGAATAAAAAAGGGGCTGGGGATGTAGCTCAGGGGAAGAGTGCCCCTGAGTTCAATCCCCAGTACCATTAAAACAAAAAGTGGGGAGTGGGGCAAGAGGAGGTAGTTAGAGCTGCACAGAAAATGAAGGGAGCAAGGAAGAAGGATCAGGAGAGACAAAAGCAGATGAGCAGAGGCCAGGAGAAGGTGAACAGGATCTGGGGCTGGGGGCAGGTGGGTTGGTGAGTAATGAGGCCAGTAGCAACTATATAGTACAAGGCTTAATGCCAGATTAATGGCTTGAAGCTTCCTCTGTTTTGTGATGGAGAGCCACAGGTGAGATGTAGGAGGCAGAGGGATGCTTGAATTCATAGCAGGTCCTGAGGGCTCAGTTCCCAAAGGAGCAGCTTCCCTGCGGCAGGTTCTGTGCTGGGGAGAGACCCCTCACAGGCAGACAAGACATGGTCACTCCCCCAGGACTCACTCTGCAGAGAGCAGAGCTACTGCCTCTCACGGAGGGGCGGGAGGACTCAGTCTCTGGATGGTCATTTTGGAGAGGAGACAGGCAGGGAGTGAGACACACAGACACTGCCTTCCTGAGCTCAAGCTCAACTCTGCAAATAATTGCCCAATTAGGCGTTTTACTAGATTTGAGGCATGGGGTGGACTGGGCAGCTTGATCTAGACTGAGGATGGTGAGCCTTCCTGGAAGCTCCCAGAAGCACAAAGCCACACACACCCTGCTGCCCCCCTACCAGATGCTTCGGTGGTGCCCCTCTCAGGAGCTGTTTACCAGGGACTCCCAGCCTGGCGGAAGGAGCCACCCTGGGAAAAGCTCTGGAGATTTTTATCAATTAAACCAGAGGGGAATAGTTCTCAGAGAAATCTGGCTGGGGGACCTCTGGATGGCCAGCTCCCCAACTGGCACAGTGCCAGTCCTGCTTAGGGAGCATTATATCTGGCTCAACTGTTTCCTGGAGAAGTGGCTCCCTGCTGCCCCCTCCTGGAGACCCTTGGAAGTGACCTTTAAGGGAGTTACACAGGCTGGCTTCACTCAGCAAGGAGGGAGAACAGGCAACTCCTTTTTTTTTTTTTTTTCCTTTCTGGTACCAAGGATTGAATACAGGGGCGCTTAACCACTGAGCTACACATTCCCAGCCCCTTTTAAATGTTTTATTACTTTTTCTTTTGAGACGGGGTCCTGGTAAGTTGCTTAGGGCCTCCTTAAGTTGCTGAAGCTGACTTTGAACTTGTGATCCTCCTGCCTCAGCCTCCAGAGCCGCTGGGATTACAAGTGTGCCCCACTCCATTTCTTGAGCACCTACGATGTGCTGACATATTATCTCAGTAGGTATTATTATCCCTATTTTCACACAGAGAGGCAGACGTTCAAAGGTTAAGGATCTGAGCAGCAGTGGCTGTGTCTGGGTCTGCATGTCCAGGGCCTGTCTGACTCCACTGTTGCCTGGTCCTAGGCCAGCAAAGCCATGCGAGTGTTCTCAGTCCACACTCTCAAATACCCCTTTGAAAAGCAGCATGATGTCATTTGAACCCTACAACCATCCCATTAGGTAGCTCAGGCAGGTATTATTTTACAGTTACCACATTATGCTTAACAAACTGGTGCACACCTGTAATTCCAGTGACTCAAGAGGCTTAGGCAAGAGGATTGCAAGTTCGAGGCCAGCCTTGGCAACTTAGCAACAGTCTCAAAATAAAAAATAAAATAAAAAGGTGGGTAATGTACCAATTTTTAAAAGTGGGAGAAAAAAGGGTGGGGTATAGTTCAGTGGTAGAGTACCCCTGAGTTTAATCCTCTGTACCAAAAATAACAACAAAAATAAAGTTACCATTTGATGAAGGAGAAAAGCAGTCCAAAAGAAAGATGAAGAGATGCCTCTAAAGCTAGAGAAACCCAAAGGGTAGATTTCTACTCCACATCCGCCTCTTGCTCATCCTTCTGACTCCCAGCTCTCCCTGTGACACCACCCCACCACAATCTCATTTTACAGTCCTTTGTGCCAGTCTGAGTCCTAGTCTAACCTAAACCAGTCCTTGAACTCATGACCAGGCTATCCCAGCTCCACAGCCTCTGTGGCACCCAGCACCTGCTGCCCATTGGATTTCGATCCTACCCCCACCCGCTAGTGTCTCACGGCAGCTCTGGGGTCACACTAATGTCAAATCTTGCCTCTGACACTTACCCCCTGTGTGGCCTTGGGAGGTCACCAAATCTCTCTGTTTTAGTTGTTCATCCCCTAAGTTGGGGTGGCTGCAAGACCTCCCCCATTGTTACAAAGGTAAAATGAGATGAGGCAACACAAGTCACCAAGAACAGCAACAGGTGCTCAATAAGCAGTTGTAGGACATGCAAAGGCCTGGATTCGGTGGCCTATCTCAAGGCATTTACCATCCGGTTGAGGAAATAAGATAGAGATATAGATACAAATGTCAATGTGTGGAATACACATACCTTTATATGGACTATCTATATGAACCTATATACATGGAAAATTGTTTTAAAAAATAAGACAGAATAATTTTAGAGAGGTCATGTATCAAGAGCCAACTTGTAAATATGTTGTGTTCCAAAAGTTCTTAGGTTAATTCTTTGATCTTAAAAGCACATGGTCCAAAATAAAACAGAAAACTAAATATGGTACCATCTAAAATAAGGCCAGAATTCATTCTTGGTTCCCAGTCTAGCCTTCTAAACTCTTTAATCCCTAGTACTGTATTCTTGCAATAAAAATAACATAAAATACTACCAGTTTAGCATGAATAATTAGACAGAGTTTTAAAAGTCTTTTAAATAAGAAATGGCTTCTTTACTTGGATGCTGGTGCTTGAGAAAGTGACTTTTTAAAATTAATAAAAAAATTTTTTTTGGTGCCAGGGATTGAACCCAGGGGCACTTAACCACTTAGCCACATTCCCAGCCCTTTTTATTTTGTATTTTGAGACAGGGTCTTCCTAAGTTACCTAGGGCCTTATTAAGTTGTTGAGGCTAGGTTGAAGTGTGCAATCCTCCTGCCTTAGCCTCCTGAGCTGCTGGAATTACTGGTGTGTGCCATTGTGCCTGGCTGAAAAGTGACTCTTATCAGTAGCAGTGGAAGGACCCTGGGCTTTCTGAAGGGCCAGTCTTCCCTGGTGGAGCACCTAGCACCCAGGCAGGCAGTGCCTGGGCAGCTGGAGCCCCCAACAGCTGCTTTTAGCTGAGTGACCTTGTTTATTTACCTTAATGAGCCAACCAGTATTTTTTTCTATTGTGTATCACGAAGGAAAAAAGACAGGTGTCATGAGGTTTGAGTACTAACTGGGGGAGGGAGGAAAATAGCTTAGGATGCTAAAGGCCCGCAGATGTGGGTGGAGCTGTGCTGAGAGCCTACTGTAAAAGAGGAAGAAGGGAGGGGCTAGGGAGATAGCTTGGTTGGTAAAGTGCTTTCCTCGAATGCACAAGGCCTTGGGTTCAATCCCCAGCATCACAAATAAATAAAATAGCTGGGCATGGTAGGACACGCCTGTAATCCCAGCAGCTTGGGAGGCTGAGGCAGGAGGATTGTGAGTTCAGAGCCAGCCTCAACAAAAGGGAAATGCTAAACAACTCAGTGAGATCCTATCTCTAAATAAAATACAAAAAAAAAAAAATAGGGCTGGGGGAGTGAGTTCTATCCCCAGTACCAAAAGAGAAGAAGGAAGCCTGTGTTCAATCTACATTTATCTGCAAATTATTCTCAGGCTGATGTTATTACCTGCATTGTACAGGTGAGAATAGTGAGGCCCAAGAGCTTCTTTCCTACTCCTTACCTCTAAACTGGAAAATTCCAACAACCAAACTAGTCTCCCTCCAGTTTCCCTCTTTCACCTCCCAAGCCATTTAACACAATGTCCATTCATTGAGTGTCTCGCTGTGAACAGCACTGAACGAACTGAACAAAGACTCCTCTCCTCAGACAATGAGCAAACACAATAGTATATGGTATGACAGACAACTGTGAGCAGAGGAGGGTCGAGGGAGGGGCCAGGGGTGCTGGGCAGGGCGGGGCTTTGAGAAGAGGACACCTGAGTAAAGACCTGAAGGAATTGAAGAGGGAGGGAGTGTAGGACCCAGTGAAAATGAAAATATGGGGCATCTTGTTCAAGTTTATTAAGAGTCTCAAGATGGCGATGGTAGAGCATTAAACCAAGCACAAGGTCCTTCTAAGTGCAGGGCCCTATGTGACTGCAGGGCCTAAGGGCTGTATGTCTTTCCAGTAACATATCCACATGTGCATGTGACTATCTGAGGAAAGAGCACTCCAGACAGAGGCGATGGAATGTGCAAAGGTCCTGAGGTATTGTCATGTTTAAGAAACAAGGAAGTCAGTGCAGCTAGAGCAGTGAGCAGGGGGGAGGGTAGGAGGAGAGATCAGAGAGATGGCAGGGTGGGGGACAATGGATCCTGTAGGGCCTGTAACCACTGTAAGGACTTTGTTTTTTCCTGTGAGATAGGAACTACTGCAAAGCCAAGGACAGGCCATCAGAATATCCTTATCAAAACCCTTCAGAGGCCTTCCATTGTCTTCAAAACAAAATTCAAACCTCTCAGCCTCAACTTTCTGACCTGTTACCATCTAGTCCTTTCCTATTCTTCACCCTTCTCTCTTCATGGTCCCCTCTCTGTTCCAGCCTTACTGAGCTTCCTGACGTGCCCAGGCTGGGCCACACTAATTCCTGATCCTCTGTCCTGGCGGATGCTGTTCCCTCAGCCTGGCATGTCCTTCCAGTCCTCTCCCCCGACCTCCTCCCCTCTCTTCACACCACAGGTCCAGCCTCACCTCCCCTGTCTTCTCCCATGGGATGGGGATGTCCCTCTGGGATTGCAGCACTTTGTCCCACCTCTGCCTTACCCTTCCTGCCCAGAGCTGTGTGGCTGCCTTTTCTCCACCTTCTTTCCTGAGGGCTGGGAGCATGGCTTCTGCAGGTCTGGAGGCCCAGCACAGAGCCTGGCACCTAAATATCTGTTTGAAAGAGTCCAACTGGTGCGGCCCAGGGGGCAGAGGAGGACCCTGAGAGGAGTTTGGGTGCCATCTTTACCCTGCAGTCTGCTGCCTCCCTCAGCTCACCAGTGGTGGCGCTGACTAGTGTGGGTGGCATGCTCACGAAGGCCTCCCGGAGAAGGTGACTTCTGAGAGGAGACAGGGCATTCCTAAAGGGAGAAATGCATAAGCAAGGGCAGGGTGGGTCCAAGCAGGGACAAAGAGACAGACCCCCATGCCCCAGGCTTCCAGGTGGCCTCCAGAGCCCTTGAGGGTCCTAGGAGAGGCTGCAGGGCAGTGCATGAGTCTCAGGGCCCAGGAGCTACAGCAGAGAGAAAGCGCAGGGCTGGCTGGAGCTGGGCCCCTGAAGTGCTTCCATCTCCCACCAAGCTGGCTGCTAGGACCTCAGGACCCAAAAGGGAGTGGCCAACAGTGCCCTGGGACCTTGACATTTGTTGCTGGGCAGCAGAGCTGGCCCTCAATGACAGTTTCCCCTCCCCAGGCTCTATGTACTGAAGCTGTCAGACGACATCGGGAACTTTGGGGAGGTGCGGCTGCCCCTCCTCGGCTGCCTTGGTGTCTCCTGGGTGGTCGTCTTTCTCTGCCTCATCCGAGGGGTCAAGTCTTCAGGGAAAGCAAGTACCCCTCCCCAGGCAGGGTCTGTTCCCACCCTGAAAGACCCTGCCTCCCCTGCCTGGATTGTGGGGGGATGTCGAGGATGGGTAAGGGCCATAGGAGGGGAAGAGGGACCAGAGGATCCGTGGTGCCTCGGGGACAACGAGGTGGTACCAGGGAGGAAAAGAGCCCAGAGGAGTCCATGGAGTCCATCTTGTCCCCAGGTGGTGTACTTCACGGCCACTTTCCCCTATGTGGTGCTGACCATCCTGTTTGTGCGTGGAGTGACCCTGGAAGGAGCCTTCACGGGTATCATGTACTACCTGACCCCACAGTGGGACAAGATCCTGGAGGCCAAGGTGGGATGTGGAGGGGGACCCTGACGGGGAGGGAGGGACCGGGCTGGGACCTTGCTGACATGGTGCCTCCCTGGCCTCCCTGCAGGTATGGGGAGATGCTGCCTCCCAGATCTTCTACTCACTGGGCTGTGCGTGGGGCGGGCTCATCACCATGGCTTCCTACAACAAGTTCCACAACAACTGTTACCGGTGAGAAGCTGGGGCCAGCCCTGAGGCTGCCTGCTGTGCCTTGCCCTCTCCACAGCCCAACCTGGTGCCCCAGACCAACACACTCCAGTGCTGCCTCCTGCCCACCAGGGCCCTCCCCTTCCTCTCATGTTTTTGAAGTCCTGAGAGTATTGGGTCTGGGTGGCTCTTTGGCCAGAGAAGGAGGAGAGACGGGATAATGATGTCTCGGAGCTCTGTGAGGATACAAAAGTCTCAGATTTACTTAAAAAGCCCCGGAGTGGACCAGAAAAGGAGTTGGGGGGCATGTTTGTTTCTAGAACATTCCCTGTCTCCATGACTTCTCTTGGCCCAAATCAGGGAAAGGGAAGTAAGCTGGCTGTCCTGAATGGTCTCTGTTCTCCTTCCCCTTAGGGACAGTATCATCATCAGCATCACCAACTGTGCCACCAGCGTCTATGCTGGCTTCGTCATTTTCTCCATTCTTGGCTTCATGGCCAATCACCTGGGTGTGGATGTGTCCCGTGTGGCAGATCACGGCCCTGGCCTGGCCTTTGTGGCTTACCCTGAGGCCCTCACACTGTTGCCCATTTCCCCACTGTGGTCCCTGCTCTTCTTCTTCATGCTCATCTTGCTGGGGCTGGGCACTCAGGTACGAAGTGCGGGACGGGGCTGGTGACCTGGGGAAGAGAGGAGAGGGCAGAGGTCAGGCCCCTACTCTGATGATTGTGCCCTACAGTTCTGCCTCCTAGAGACACTGGTCACAGCCATTGTGGACGAGGTGGGGAATGAATGGATCCTACAGAAAAAGACCTATGTGACCTTGGGTGTGGCTGTGGCTGGCTTCCTACTGGGCATCCCCCTCACCAGCCAGGTAAGGACCAAGTGGGAGAAAGGCTGGGCTGTAGTTGCAGGTGCATGGGGAGCCTGGGCCATGGACACCCTGCTCAGCTGCTTGCTGGCCCACAGGCAGGAATCTACTGGCTACTGCTGATGGACAACTACGCAGCCAGCTTTTCCTTGGTCATCATCTCCTGCATCATGTGTGTGTCCATCATGTACATCTATGGTAAGTGCCCGTGTTTCCATGGACTTGCGTGTCCCTGCCTGTAGCCAGCCCACTGTCCTGTTGGGCCTGCTGACCGCCCTCTCTCCAGGGCACCGGAACTACTTCCAGGACATCCAGATGATGCTGGGGTTCCCACCACCCCTCTTCTTCCAGATCTGCTGGCGCTTTGTCTCTCCAGCTATCATCTTTGTAAGTTCCTCGGTGCCCTCCCTCTTTCTGCTGCTCATCAGCCAAGTGTCCTCTTGGAAGTCAGTGGAGGGAGAACAGGAGTCTGTCACTAGGCCAGAGCTCCACACCCATGACCCTGGCCTCCAGGTGTCTGAGGAAGGTTGAACAGTCAGATAAGTGTGTGCATACTTAGAGCCCCAAGCGCTGACCTCGGGCCAGGAAGGGAATACGGAGACCTGTACTTAACTATACTTGACTGACAGCATTGCCCAAGCTTGGAGGGGGATGGTGGCTGGCAGCAACCCCAGTAAATCAGCACCCCCTCCCTGGTATTCCTGCCTGGCTTCTCCTGAGGGTTCTCATAAGCCATTGGTATTAGTGTCATCCCTGTCTACCTCAATGCTGTTACCCCCAGCCCCACAGAGGAGGTGCCCAAGGAGGTTGGTTATGTGGCATCAACATAAGTGGAAGTATTCCAGAAGTGGCCCCAGGACCTTTCCATGCAGGCATAAGAGATATCAGCTTTGCATGGGGAGGGGGCAGATTCCTAATCCTTCCTGGTAGGGAAGTAGGCTGGCTTAGGAGGGGAAGTCCCTGTTGCCAGACTCCCAACAGAAAGTTGAATTGGTGGGAGAAATCCCCCCAGGGCAAGGACTCAAGCCCTTTCTGTACACTCTTTACATGTTAGTTTGTGAACACAACTCTCCAGGGTATCATTATCCACATTTTACAGATGAGGAAATTATGACATACGGATGTTAAGTAATGTCCATAGTCACATAAGTAGTAAGGCTGGGCAGAGCCATGATGTGGAACAGGTAGCCCAATCTGGAGCATGCTATGGGCTAAAAACCATCTCCTTGTGCTTGAGGTGGAAAGTGGGCAGGAGGGGGGTGGGGCAGCGAATAGTATACACAAAGAAGCAGCAAGGCTACCTCTGAGTGACACTGGTGTCACCTAGTGAGTGGTCAGGGCACTGTGTGGAGTGACATCTTATCATGCTCTATTCCTCAGGACCATAGGGAACTCAGCACCAGACTTCCACTTTGGCTCATGTTTCTAAAAAATAGGCCCCTGGAGGGCTGAGGCCTCTACCACATGGGGTATGGGATGTTTCTCAGCTTGGCACAGGCACCCGTTCTGGCCACCAGCCCAGCTTTGAAACTGGAGGAGCGGAAGTCTTCTGCTTTCAGGAGCGGGAGGCCAGGGAGGCCAGTGCCACTGCCTAGGACCCACCTGAAGGGAGCTCAGCCTCCCAACACTCAGAAAGGGCTGCCACCCTGGGGGTAGACCTGGGGCACCTGCCAAGGGAAAGAGACAAACACAAGAAGGGCCTCCCAGGCAGCCTCAGCCTAGGTCTGGGGTCCTCTCAAGACTGAAGCAGAATGGGCAGTACCTTCTCTGTGCCTAGGAAGCCTGGCTGGAGTCACCATAAGATGAGGATTCCAGGCTCCATTATATTTCTGGGAAGTCATGTTCTCTTTGGTGCTTGGCTTCTATTTCTGGAAAACTCTTTCTGACAAACTCATCCTGTCAGCTAATGAAGAGATTTGTCCACAGGTAGATCAGGCTCTAGCTCCATTCAGGAGGCTTGTTACATTATGTCTCATTATGTACATCCCAGAAGAGGTCCCCAGTTTGGGTGTGGATCTTGCCTTTTATAATTTGGTCACAAGGAAGGTCAGAGGAGCTTGAGCTACAAGAAGCAGCTGAAGGTTCTGGGGGAAGATGCTGAGCTTTGCTGGCAAGTTAAGGCACCCCAACCCTCCAGGCCCTCTGGTGGAACCAGGGGCCACTAGCTAAATCACTGATTTCACTCCCCATCTCACTCCAAAGAGGCTCCCTGGTACACCCACAGCCTGATGCTCACCGTTTCTACCCTTTGAGCCCTCCTCAAGCTAAATGTCACTATCTCCACAGCCATAGCCAGGCAGGGCTTTGTCCTACTCTTTCCCCAGCTCCTTCTATTTCTCAGCATTAATCAGTTCAAATCCATAAGACTGCACCAGGCACTGTGCACTGCAGACTCAGAGCTCACGCATGGCCAGGTGCTCCCAGGTACATGGGAAACAGGAAACATAACTGAGCAAGGCAGATGGGAAATGCCACTGAGGGGCTCTTCAAAAGGAGACAAATCTGGGACAGCTTCCTGAAGGAGGTAGTCCTGACACAGGGTTTGACAAAGGAAGATGTAGAGGATGATTCTCCAGAACAAATGGAGAAAGGGTAGAAGTGCTGGGTATAACTGAAACATTGAGGTAAAGTAACATGGCCAGAAAGATGAACTGAGGTCACGTTGCAAGGTGAAGGCCTAAAGGCCAGGGATTTGGCTTTGCCTAAAAGAGACCTTTTTGGAATTCTTGACTTCCAAAGCAAGCTGCAGCTTGATTGTTCTCCAGCTAGTTCAGGACTATGGCAAAGACAGACCTTTCCCATTCCATCTGCCCACCATATCCTATGCCCCTGGGCCTGCCAGCTTCTTCCACTGCCCAGGTGTTAACAGTTGCCACTTTCCAGCTTGGGAGTAGGTAGAAGAAGGGATGCTGCTAGGAGGGAGGGTCTGGGGTCTGGGAGGATCTCTGAGCTGGCCTCACACCCACTCCCATCCACATCCTGCAGTTTATTCTCATCTTCACGGTGATCCAGTACCGGCCAATCACCTATAACCACTACCAGTACCCAGGCTGGGCTGTGGCCATTGGCTTCCTCATGGCCCTGTCCTCTGTCATCTGCATCCCACTCTACGCCCTGTTCCAGCTCTGCCGTACAGATGGGGACACCCTTCTCCAGGTGAGGAGTAGGGATTGGGCAACTTGGAGAAATGGGAGGAAGTGGGTGGATGAGGCTTAAGGGCTCCCTTCTGACACCCTGCCTGCTGCACCCTCTGCCTACTTCTTGTGCAGCGTTTGAAAAATGCCACAAAGCCAAGCAGAGACTGGGGCCCTGCCCTTCTGGAGCACCGGACTGGGCGCTATGCCCCCACCATAGCCCCCTCTCCTGAAGATGGGTTTGAGGTCCAGCCGCTTCACCCAGACAAGGCCCAGATCCCCATTGTGGGCAGTAACAGCTCTAACCGCCTCCAGGACTCCCGAATATGAGCACAGCTGCAGGGGAGTGGCCCCACCCTACCCCGTGCTCCCACCACAGACTGGGGAGGCAGTGGACAGGTGTCACCACCTGCCCCATCATGCCCTGGCCAGGATGGCTGCTGTCCACTTGGCCACCACTGCTAGTGCAGTCATTTGTGCTTGTGTCCCCAGTGTTTACATGTCCTTCGGATGCCAAGGGGGTAGAGAAGCTGTGGGGGGACTGCAGGGGGGCCCAAAGCACTTTGGAGGGATCTTGGGCCAGGTCCCCAGAGGCCTACCAGCCTTTATAATGGCCTGTGATACCCTCACACTCTGCCCTGAGCTGAGGTTCTGGGCTGGCCCTCCGACCTGTCCTCCCTGGGCCTCCAGCCTTGTGACCAGTGTTCCTGCCCTCAGAACAGACCCCAGCCTCTGCCCAGGCAAATCTGGATCTTCCTACCTGGCAGGTTAAAGGGCTGGGGAGCTGCACAGTGTTACCTGTCAGACGTACCACCCAGCCCTGTTTATCTGTGTAATTATTTTTGTAAAGATTGTATCTGTGGTTGCTACCCCTGCCCCCAGCCTTGGGTCCAATCTGTCTTCCAGGCCTGCTTGCACCTCACTCAGCTGCTCCAGGGTCTGTGTCCCTCATTCCAGCCCTGGATATGGGGCCCACCCAGCAGAGGCTGTGACCCAGCAGCCTGCCCAAAGCACTTGTTTCAGGAGGGCAGGGGTGGAGGCTGCTCAGCAGGAGGTGTGAGCTCAGAGCCCTTGGGAAGGAGACCCTGCACGACAGCCCTTTGCCCTCCCTCCACCAGGCTAAAAGCCCAGTCTTCCCAGACGTGTTGCCCTCATTCATGTGCCAAATGGCCCCAGCCCACATGTTCCATCCTCCTCTGGAGCCAAAGCTCCTCTCAAGGCCTGCAGTGTCCATTTGTCCGTCCTCCGTGCCCTCTGTGCAGTGACAGCCCCAGTCAAGCCGTGTCTAATCCTTTGTAGCAATAATGGTGCACTGCCTGCCCCTGCCCATCGTGCACCACTAGGATTTTAAAGTCCATAGATTTTAATGAAATTTCTATTCCTGTCTCTGAACTGCTGCTGTGCTTTGTCTGGGTCCCCTGGGGGACAAGAGTCAGAACTGGGATGGGACCTCTGTTGGCCAAGCCTTTGTGGAGGCCTGGGAGGAGAAAGGCCAAAGGATTTGACAGCTAGGATAGATGTCTGGCAACTTACCGTGAATACCAGGGACCTGGCAAGGGAGTGGGAAAAGGGCTAGACAGACAAACAGCCTTAGGGTCTTGGCAAGAACTCATCCAAGATGAGACCTGAAGCTGGCAGGGCCATGGCAACTAAGGTGGCATTGTAGAAGGGGCAAGTTCTGACAGAAGCAGAAGTCTGCTTTGTGGTTGGCCCTTCAGCTTGGGGCCTGGGGTGCTGCAGTGGACATTGGTGTGGAAGCTGGTCTTTCCCTGGGGCCGCACCGAAGCTGCCGTCCCCAGCGGCAGCTGGAGGCCCAGCCTTGAGACTGGGGGCAGCGCTCCAAAGGAGGTACAGGTAGGTGGCCTTGAAGAGGCCCAGTCCAAACTCCATCAGCTCCATGGAGGGGAGGAAAGGATCTAAGGTCCTGAATGGATGACTCCAATGGCTGCTGCCTGGACAGAAAGGAGTAACAGTATGCGGGCCATGGTCTGACCCTTCAGCCCACCCTGACTGCCATCTCCATTTTGGTATACCTGTATTTGGCAAAGATGCAGGAAGTTCCCAAAGAGGCCTGAAGCTCCTTTTCCATGGCCTTTTTCTGCTCCTTTAGCTCTGTGAAAGGACACTGCTGAGAGAGTGCCCAGCTCCTCTAGTGTGTGCCTAGTATGGAGCACGGGCAGGAGGCTGGGTGTTCTGGGGCCAGCTCAGGGTCCTCACCTGCCAGGGTGGGCTCCAGGGTTGCTTCAGAGGGCTGGTGAGCCTGCGTATGCTCTGCTTCCAGGCAGCACTGCAGGGAGAGGTGAGTCAGTGGCACATCCTGAAGGCAGAGACCAAGATCCCCAGAGTAGGGCCTGGGAATGAAGCCAAGCAGCTTTCAGACCAACCACCACAAGAGAAGCCCTTGGAGGGAACATCAGCCCTATCAAAAGTCAAGTGAGATGGTTCTTGGGCCTATATTCAGACTTAGGTAAGGGAAAGAGGCGAAAGACCTGGGAAATCCAGCAGATTAATCTAAAACTGCTGACTTTGGACAGGAGCTCAACCAGAATCCTGGGCTTCTAGGATTTCACACACACAGGTGTGCACATATGAAGAATGGATATAGAACTCACAATCTGTACACATATGTATATATATATATACACACACACACACACACATGCATGGGTCACAGACCCCCAGGTGAGAAATATGTCTCTGCTCAGCAGAGAAGCTCTAAGGAAAGGTCCAGGGCGATGCTCACCTGCAAGGTGGAAATCTCCCTCTCCAAGGTGCGACACTCCTCCTCCAGGAGGCCTCTGGGACATAGGCAACATGGCAGCCACAAGCAGTGCCACAGGACCAAGTAAGCTGAGCCCATCACTCAGTTCCCAGTTTCAGCCTTACCAGGAACCCCCTCTAGCCCCGTCTTTCTCAATTTGCATTGCCCTCTGCTACCTGGGTGCTGCCTAGCATAGACTTCTGGCCCAGGTCAGTCTCTCTCTGGGCAGGATGTATCTTCTTGTCTACCTCATAACATTCACCCTTGTAGGCCCCATCCCCTCTTCTATGCTATTTCTCTGAGCTTATAACTTCTCCTGCCTCCATTCTTTGCCACATCACAGCCCTTCCTCTGCTTACCTTCTTGCAGCTCCCTCCATGTCAGAATAAAAATCTTAAGGCTTTGGTCCTTCCTGGAAGGAGGCCCACTAGCTCTTCAATAGCTGGCTCTATCTACCTCCCAGCCTTACACACATGGATCTCCCTTCTCTCTCAGTCCCAGCATCTTAAGATCCATCCCCGTCTCCTTTCCTGTGCCTCACATACCCACTCAGGTGCCCCTAGGCCTCACCTCAGGTATCCAGCAACTTGGTCAATGTTGGACATATTCAGCTGATCCTTGATGAAACTGAGGTCCCTGTGACTGCTGCTGGCAGATGAAGTCTACGTCACTCTCCCATGTTGCTCACCCCAGGCCTTAGGGACACAAATGTAGCTTCTCCTAGGTAACTGTGTGTCTTTTCTTATAAAGGCAACATAATACAGCATAATATAGTAGGAGTTCTGGAGCCTAGGCTTGCAAATGGGCTGCCACCCTTCACTGAATGTGACCTGGGCAAATTGCTTATCCTTTCTGAAATTCAGCTTTCTCATCTGCAAAGTAGGAACATCACTCACCTTACAGTGTTGTGTGAGGATTAGAAGCTGCTATATCCACTTCTATGAAAATGCCTGTTTATCTCACTCAGTCCCCTGCTGTAAATACTGTTCGCCTGCCCTGTCCTCTCAGCTCTCCCTGCCTCTGTAGCCCAGCCCTCACTCCTATTCTTTAGGCTTGAGAAAGAACTGCCCACTGAACCCCACCTCCTGGCCTCTCTCTTCCTGCAAAATTCTCTTCATCTGACTGGAGAACTGCTCCTTACTCCAAGACCCAGATTAAACCAGTTGCTCTCTCCAGAAAACCTTGCTGCCTCCAGGTTGGGCAAGTATCTCCTTGAGGCTTCTATAGCCCTCAGGTGCTGATCCCTATCACTGCTATAAAAGGGCTCCGACCCAGACTGGGAGCTCTTCCATGGAACCAGGTGAAATCTACCAGTTGGCTGGGGCCCTACTCAAGCAAGAACAGGTCTCTCCTCCCCTACCACTTTACCTGTGTTCACCAGCTCTCATCTGGGATATCTCCTGTTCTGGCAAGTCACACCTGGGCTCCTCCAAGGCAAAGCGAATAACCTTGGGGCTATATGCAGCCCAAGCCTGGGCCGGGTCCCTACAAGGTGCACAGGAAGGAAGCTGAGGGGTTCCTTTCAGGAAACCACAGGAAAGGCCACCCTGGCTCCTTATCAGGGGCAGGACTAGCCTATTTGTTTCCTGCAGAGGCCCAGGCCTGAGATTCCCACCTGCCCTCGCAGATGGCCTTGTCTCGGAGCCTTTGGAGAAGCTGCTGGAGTTCCTGGCGCATGAGGTCCCTCAGGAGTGGCGGAGGTGCCAGAAGGGAGCAAGGGTCAGAGATGGGGTGACAGCCTGAGGCTTGGGAAGATCGAGCCTCTTGCAGCAGTACCTCTAGCATCGCCACCTGCAAGGAGAGCTGGGGCACCTTGCTACTGGGCATTGAGGGGACCCGAGTGTCGGGTAGGGCGGAGTCAAACAGGAAAGGGCAAGGCGGATAGCGACACCTGACAAGATCTAGGGAGTCAGCGGGCAGGGCCAGAGACCCGGAAGGGATGGCAAATCACGAATGGTCTGGGACATGGCCCACCTTCCCACTCCCCACCTCCGCTCGTAGCTCCAGGCTCAGATCTACCACCGCCTCCCCCAGAATCCTCTTCACTTCAGGCTGCTCCGGGAGTGGAACATGCTCCTCCACCAGCTCCCACAGCGACAGGGAACCCCGGGGCATGGCGCCCGCGCCGCCGTCCCCAGCTCGGGCCTTTGGGATGACAGGTCAGAGCGCTGGATTTACTCGGAGATCGCCGGTCGCCCGGGGCAGGGCCCCGCCCACCCTGGCTTCCCAGGCCCCGCCTTGTCCTGCCATCCTCACGCCTGGAATTACCCAGTCCGCCACACCGGTCTCTGGCGCCGTTTCTTAAGCCGCGCTTCTGGCAGACCCTCTGGGGCCACCGCCTGGGGGAGCCAGGCAGCGGGGAAGGGGGGGGGCCCCGGCAGCCCCGCCTCTTCCGCACAGCAGTCACCCGGGAAACCGCGCGCAAACCCAGGCCCCAGAGGCCCCGCCCAGCTCCTGCCCTCCCGCTTCCCGCACCCGCGAGCTGTTGGTCCCCGAGAGATAGGGGGCGTGGCGCTTGGGGGAGAAAGCTCCCCAGAACCCGCCCCCAAGTTCTAGGGGCTCGTCCAGCACCTCCCCGCCTCTAGGCAGTTGAACAACTGGGAAATCTGGTCCCACTGAGTATGTTACTCAGGGGCAGTGGGGCAGAGACAAGGTAAACTTTTTTCTGTCTAGGGCAGTGTGGTTATTAGTCCCTGCGTTTGAAGAAACCCCATTGACCTTGGCCAGGTACACTCCTAACACAACTCAGAGCAACTAGATTGTGGGACCCAAGTCCCCATCCCCAAACAAAGATGCTGCTCCATTCACGTTTTTTACTAAAGCACCCACACAAGTTTCTGTGCAATGTACAAACACGAGCCCTGGGGTGTCTGCCTCCTCTCTTGAGACAGGGAGGCGGGAACCAGACTGACTGATCCAAGCTCCTCCCACCCCCCCATGCAAAGGCCAATCCCAAGATCCCAGGCAGCAACACAGCATCCCCTCTGGTCCCCTCCTGGGGCTGCTCCTCAGCAGAGGGTGCACCAAAGGTTGCCCTCTACAATATTGAATGAAAAAGGTTTCCCCTCCCCTGGGAGCATGGGGGATCCCCAGGTCTGAGAATTCCCCCTGGAAGAGAAAATGCCCCCTAGTCATATCTCCCACCCTTTCAGGCCCTAGGGGACTCAAGGGGGGGAAACTGAGGCACAGAGAGGTGGAGTGACCTAGCCCAGGCCACTCCGCGAGGCAGTGCAGGGGCTGGCCCAACCCTGACAGAGAGAGGGGCTGGGCTGGGGGAGTCGGGTAGGAAGAGTTGACCCCAGAGAGGGCCTCACTTGAGGGGCCTGCCCAGACCAGAAGCCCCTCAAAGTGGGTTCTGAAACTTCTAGGTGCAGCTGGCAGGTCTACTGAAGACCCTCAGAAAACAGCCCAATCTCAGTCCTGGGGGTCCCTCACATAGCAGCTGCCAGCCAGGCTGTAGGTCAGTCCTCTGACAGGCATTCCTTGGCACCAAGAGCCTTTGTCCATGAGTGTCAGCCCCGAGGGGGCCATGATGGAGGGCGCCCAATATCCACTGTAATGTTGGTGAAAAGTGGTTGCCGAGACACTTCTAAGACCTGGTACCGCACAGACCCGATGCCGTCCCGCTTCATGGTCAGCTTTGTATTTTGAATCTTGGTAAACCTAAAGGATGGAAATGAATCCAGATCAGGGCTAACTGCCAATATAATATAGGATCTCTGGGGCCAAGGCTCAAGTCGTCATCCTCGTTCAGTGGTGACTCACTGGAGCCCTTTGCTCTTGCATTTACTCTTGAAACACAGATCTCAACTCCTTCTGTCAGAAAACAAATGATAGCCTCACAGATCTCTCAGCTCAGACCTTCCTTCTAAGCTAAGCTATAGACACACAGGCATCCCACAAGCATCTCAAAAAGCAATGTGTCCAGTGTGAGACGTATCATCTTTAACCCCCAAACCCATGCCATCCTCTCTATTCCTCATCCTTTAGTCACTCAACTTCCCCCATCTACTTGCTGAGCACTCCCTGTGTACTAGGTTGTGCTCTAAGCACCAGGGATACACCAATGATCATAACAGATGAGATCTTTCCTTTCCTGGCAAGTCTATATCACTAGCAGAGACAGGTAACAAGCAAGAAGAACCTGAGAATGCTAAGGGGACAAGGTGGCTGCCTTTGAAGGAGTATGTGACACTGAGCTGAGGGTAAGGGGAGGAGCATTCTAGGCAGAGGTTAGATAGAGTGCTGCTGCCCCTAAATTGGGAACAAGGTTTTAGATAGCTGTGTGGCTAGACCTGTGCGCTAACAGGAAAAACAGATTACCTTGTAGGTCAGAGCATATATGGGCAGGTCTCTCTGTAAGTAAGAGGAAGCAGTTATATTTTATTTGGTGAGTGAGAAGTCACCAAGGGACTCTTAAGCCAGGTGGAGGAGGGGTATACACTACAGAAAAACAAAGGGGAAGCAGGGAAACTTGTCCAGTAATCCTGACAGTATCAGAGATTGGGGTAAAGCTAGAAAAGGGGAAAACAGACAGGTTCAATATGTTTTGTGGGGTTTGAATATATAGGGTGAGGGAAAGAAGAATCCAGGAAAACTCCTAAATTTGAGGCAAAGTCAACTAGGTAGATGGAACCACTATCTAGAGTTCCTTAACCCAGAAATTTCTTGCAATTAGCCATTTCCACACTCATCAGATATCAGTAATAGATGAAGACACCCAGACAAGCTCCTCCCACAAGACCAAGGCTCCTATTGGACTTTTGGAGCTCTTCTCTTACCCTCATACTCACCCTGTTTCCATCCTCCCAGTCCTTCTGAGCTCAGCTTAGACCCCTCTTACACCTCTCAGGGTGGTGCCCTTTCCCTTAGCTTCCCTAAAGCCCCTCTTCCCCATCTGTCATCCCTTTTCTGCTGACCATGGTTTGTACCTGAACCACCTTCTTTTTCATCAGGTCACTGGACTCTATAGTCTCATACTTCTGCCAAACTCCAACCCTGAATCAGTGCTGCAAACCGTCTCTCTTGTTCCTACCCTGGGAAAACCCTATTATCCAAGCTGGGGGCACAGCACACCCACAGGTCCTTGCTCCAGCATGCCCCCTCAGGCTCTATCAACTTCTTCAGGACTGATCCACATCCTCTTTAGCTCCGCCCAACAGCTGGGTCAGCCTTTACCTTCCTTGAGCTCAGAAAAATCAGCCTTCCAAACACAAATCTGACCATCCTCTGCCCCACTCACAAGCCCTTCTACAGCTCCCCAGACCCTCTGGGGCAAAAGTTAGACTCCCAACCTGGAAACACCTAGCAATGATCACTACCTACTATTACTCCTGACCTTCAGGTATGTTGAAACTCTTTAGTCTCGGTATATGCCATGCACGTTCACATTCCAGGCTCTTACAAATACAATTCCTTTCATCCACAATGGCTTCCTTCATTAGCCTGGAGAATACTATGCCCAAGGTAGGTGTGACGTAAGAGCAAATAACAACTATTTTCAAATTTCAGCTTACCCTTACCTCCTCCCTCCAAGAAGCCTCCCACCATCACTCTCTCTTCTGCCCTCATCACCTTGTGCCAAAACTACCTATCTGCTTGCCTAGAATGAGCTTCATGAGGGATAGAAGGATGGGGATTTGGTATGACTCCCATTCCCACAGGATCCGGCACTAGTTGAAGATAAGCATCAGGAAGCCACATGCTCTTTAGGCCTTTCTCCCAGCCACCCCAGATATTACACAGGGCTCCCTCCCTATGAGATGGAGCTGTCTCCTCCCATCTCAGTGCCTCACACTGTCTTTCCAATCCCCACCCCACCTGTTTGGGGCAACTGTTTTCAGGTTCCCAGGAGCTGTGCCCCAAATACCACTCTCTTATAAGCAGGGGTCACCCATGATGTACAAATGAGGTATCCGAATACACCAATGGAAATGCAAAGGACTCAGTTATAATTCTAGCTTAATTTCTAGTCATATGAATAAATCAAACTAGGGGTGCTAGATACCTAGTGGGTAGGGGATAAGGACTGGAAGCCTCTGGGGTCAAGGATGTTTACAGGCCACATCCAGGAGGTCAAGGATTAAGGGCACTTGGGGTCAAGACTTGAAGATATTGGGAAGTCACCTCTAGGAGTAAGAGATTAGGGGAACCTGGGGTCAGGGATGCTGGAGGGTCACCTCTGAGGGTTGGGCTCGTTATGCTTGTCCCGGTCGTGCTTGATCATACGGTAGCGGCCTATTCGGATGTCTGGGCGTGAGATCTTCATCCCAGTCAGGGAGATCCTGAGGATAGGGACAGATACACTGGAACAGGCACTGGGAGGGCAAGGGGCCCCACCCAATCTGCACTCACCCCCTCACCACCCAGAATACTACCAGCCCTATCCGATCCTACTCACCGATTGAAGATGTCATCATCCTCGCCACCCCAGCCCCAGTACTCGTTGGGGAAGCCATTGATTCTCAGAAACTGGGCCTTGCTCAAGCCTGACACACCTCCAAAGTAGCCAGCATAGGGCAGCCTATGGTATGGGAGGGCAGGTGTCAGGAAAAGCCACAAGGGGATTCAAGATGAAGGACCAGAGTTGGGGTGTAGGGACAATGACAATGTGTGACCTGGGGCCCAGGGAGGATCTGCCCTAGCCAGAAAGGTCTAGGCCAGGGGCTAGCAGGGCACTGGAGCTGGAGTGATGGCTTGCCTGAAGTAGGGGTGGGGAAGTTCAGGTCTAGGTGAGAAAAGAGCCTCACCGGAAGCCAAATTTGTCCATGGCAATGGCAAAGTGGCGGGGCTGGTCGCCACAGCGGTACAGATTGCGATCATCCATGGGGACCAGGTCCACATCGCTGAAAATGAAGCAGTCATAGGCCGCGTCCTCCTTCAATGCCTCTAGGAAACCCACGTTGAGCAGCTTGGCCCGGTTGAAGGTGTCCTCACCATGCTGGGGTGGAGGGGGAACAGCAATACCTATTGCTTCACCACTTTCCCGAGCAATCCCAGGGACCCCCCAGCCCCTCTCTCCCTGCAGGGGTCCCTCAGACTCTAAGAATCAAATCTAACTTCACACCCTAGATCTGGCCTTCAAAGGTCCTTCATGATTTGGTTCCAGTCTCTCTCTGGCCACTACCCTCAGATCCTAAGGCTCAACCACACTACATCCCTCAGCAGCCACAAAACATGCTAGACTCTCTCTCTCATCTCCAGGCCTTGGGATTAACAGCTCCTCTTGCCTAGAATGCCCTTTTCTGCTTGCCAACTCATGTCAGGAAAGGGTCTCCTAACGAAACCTCCTGGTCCTGGTACCACTGCATTCTCCTTCTTATGGGCTTTGTTTATATTAACATCCAATTAAACCATTATATAGAGCTCTCATCTCATTCACTCCTTCAACATGCCCTGTGTCCTCCTTTGTGCCAGCAGGGATTCCAAAGATGAGCAGCCCTGGTCTCTATCTCTGAACATGTAGTCACAACATGAGACAGTGAGCATTTAAAATGACCAGTGTCTAAGAAACAGAAGCCACAGGGACTAAGCTACTCAGCCTTAGGCACCTGCCCATTCAACATCCAACTCCCTGGTCAGCCTCTGAGATCAGGAGAGTACCAAACAAAATGACAAGTAGAGGGTTACAGGCAATCACATCCAGTGAGCCAGG